AACTATGACAGACTATCAGAAAGATACTTGTGACACACCTGGGGACAAACTAAGCTCAGAAGAATGTTAACAACCAGATGAGAGACACATTAACTCCACAAAAATGACTGAGAAAAGAAAGCAAGAGAGTGAAAAATGAATATCCAATGAAGGGCAACATATTTTACAGGACATGGACACTGACATTATGAAGAGGTTCAACTTCCCTCTCACATGTGACATACTTGAGAGTAACAGACATTTCCTGTGGCTCAGAAAACAAGTTTAATTGACACTTAGAATGAAGAAATGCATACAGGTTTTTTTTTTAAAAATGAAATTTTATTATAAATCTGTAGGTTTAAGAAAATACCCCAAAACTGTCAAAGTAGTATGAAAAATGCTGTCATCCTATTCACAGTTACCAGTTTTCTCCAATAAACAGAGCATACAAAAATTGGTAGAAATCATGACAACTCTTTTTGGTGACACGAGTCAGGTATTTGTAATTCTAAATCCCCTGCTGACAACCAAGATGCTGCTGGCAGCCCAAGGGAGGGATTGAATCGTGTTCTTTCTGAAAACTGGAAATGCAGATGGCAAGGCTATATACATATCCACATCCTGTATTTTACATGTACAGGTAACTCAGGACACACTGAACATGGCTCAGCACAATACCCAACGTCTAGACAAACCTGGAGAGCCAGGGAATGTGTGTGTATGGTACTAAGGGATTCTCTATGCTCTGGTTCCCCTTTTCTTTTACATCTGAAACCTAATAAAGACCAACTGTTTTCCTCATTGACAGAAACAGTGAAGCTGACGTGCTGATGCACTGTCTTTTCAGACACAGAAAATGTGAGCTGCACTGCACGAGGCTTGTGATCTCAGAATGTAATGCAGTTGAAATATAACAATTAAAAGAGGGATTTTTAGAAGACTGTAGGCTGAATTTACTGCCTGCTGTTCACAGATAATTCATAAGATGGGACTGTGGAAAGAACTGCCTGATAGATGTTACATTCCTAAACTGAAGTATAGACTGCTTAAAAAAAGCAGAAAGTTTGCAAGTGTGCCACGGGTTAAATCCAGACCTGCCCTACAGCTCCACTCTGGGGAACTGGCTGCAATGGCTGGAAGCTGCAGCACAGACCACTCGTAACCCCATTCTGAAATCCTGCACACTGCACAGCACCCAGAGGCTGCAACTCAGAGCTGCAGTGTAGAGGAGGCTTCAGTGTAAGAAGTGTGGAGATTTTAGGAGAGTAAGATGAAACATTTCTGTTACAACACCTGCCTGAGGTACCAATATGATCTAAATGAGAAGGAAAAAAAAAAACCAAACCCAAACCAACTCTGTGTTATTTACTCTGTTTTTATCAGGTGCTTGAAGGTCCTCAGGCAGAGGACACATGGGATTTCCTACTGATCAATCCTCCCTTTGCCAACAGCGACTTGGAAGAAACCAGCATCAGGTTAAAAACCACTCAGTGCATTTCATTCACTTTGCTGTTTCAACTTAAGTTGAAAAGCACAGAATCAAGAGTTATCCAAAGAAAACTATGCTGCAGAAGAGACAAACCAACAGTCTCTCATCACCAGAGCAAACAGGATGGAAATGCAGAACTGAATGTACAGTAATTTCCTCCACCATGCAGACTAGATTATCCCTAGGTTAATCAGGGCTACCTGGAACATTTCTGGAAAGCCACCTATTGGTAAGGAGGTTGCCCCATTCTTCTGCTTTTAAACTGATTTCTGAAGCACTGTAATGGAACAGTCCAACACTCCTCATGCCAAAGAAGGAGAACATTCCATGTACATTCTAGGTGTGAACCTTCAGGCTTGGGAAGCGTTTCTCTAGATTGTCAGCAAGGGTCTGATCAGCCTCACGCAGAACTTCAAGAAAACTCTCCACCTGGAAATAAATTGCAAACACACACATACACACAAAATCAGAAACAACAAAAAAACCCTAGCAACTTGCATCAAATATAGAATTCTTGTACTTAGTACAGGGTGTCTTTCTATTTCTGTACCTTTCCACCAACAGCAGCCAGCAGCAGCCACTGCAAATAATGGAAAATGCTCCACAGCAGACACCTTCCTCCTAAACTTTGCAATATTATTGCCTTCCTCAAACTCTTATTGTTTAAAAGTACATAAAGAGCAGCTCCCTATGAGAAATATTTACCATAGTTATTCTATACAAATGTACAGGACAGATTTTCAGCTAGTATAAATATGCAGACATCCTTTCATTTCTGCAGTTTGACCCTTGTATCAGCTGATGATCTAGGCAAAGCTCTGGCTGAAGCAAGCCAGAGGAGACAGAGAGGGTGAGACTCTCTAGAATGGCATATTAGCTGTGTCTGAACAATTCTGTCCTACTTCTACATGTGATTCTGAAACATCTTACCACCTGAGTAGTATTTTTTTTCAGCTGTATCGAAGACCTTGTCATATACTCACCGATGCAAAATACAGAGGTAAGAGGTTCTGAAATGCACAGGAACATGTCTGTTCATTTAAATGGCCCTGATGTAGTCCTTCTAATATATTTTCCTGGAAAATAAAAGGAGAAATACAACTGGCAAGTCATGGGACAGCTGGTGAAAGAACAAACTCAAAATTGTGCACACAATGTCTACAGTATGTGCTTCATTCTCAAAAATGGGTGAAACAACCACAACCTACAGTTCTCAGAAAATGCCAGACGTAGCTAAAGCAAAAAGGTGTGAAAGCTCACACATCACAAGACTCTTAAACTGAATGCTCCCATAATAAAAAAGTCCATCTGAGGTGGATTTATATATTGATATTTTTTCTTTTCCTTAAATGGGCTTTCATTCAAAGGAAATGGTGACATACACTGAGAGATTACCACACAGAACCTTGGACCTGGAGGCACACACCTGAGGAAACTTGTGGCCCTGCCACCACCTCACCTCCTGAGTGACTCTCTAATGAATTGCCAGCATGAACTCCACATGCACAGAAAAATGCCCACATTAATAATAACATCTTTTTTCTTACCTACCCTACAGAAATCCCTCTCAGAGTTTTGTTTAGTCTTACCTTGGTCAGTTCTTGAAGCATATTGGAAAGTAATTCACAGCAAATATCCTTCAAAATTTTTAAATGGAAATCTTCCTTGTTTATATCAGCTCTTCCAGTCTCCTCTTCTTCAGATTCCTTGGAGTTATCAACAGATCTCTTCCCACAGCTCTCCATGTATTGCAAGATACGAATCAAGCTCCCAATCAGAGGCATATCTAATATAAAGATTTTACACAAAAGCTATAGGAACATATACTCTAAGAGTGTGGTGTCTTGTCACTCAAAGATTGTTACAAAGAAACAAGAGGAAACATAGTAGAAAATCCAAACCATTTTTCCTGCAAGCTAACCTGTATCTATAAAAAGTGTATGCCAGTGGTAAGGAACAGAAGGCAAATGTCTCTAGTAGTAACTCGGAGAGGTTAGTATGTTAAATTTGTACACAGATGATCCTAGCTGATAAACCAAACCAACATAACATCCTTATGCTGCAGAGCACCCTGAATCCCATTCCCAAGACAGGCTATTAATTCTAAAGACTTGTCAATGGATTGAAGAGTAACAAGTGATAAAGCGGCATCTAATTAAGTGCAGAATCTAAAAAAAAGAAATAACAAAAATTACTATCAAGACCTCATATTTTGGCAGAGGTGAACTCTGCAATTTTCACTAATTCACCCAATGGAGCAGACTGAACAGAATCTGTAGATTCTATCACTATCCAGTAACTGAACAGTGAGCTGTGACTTTTGGTCATCAGTGAAGAGCCTTACTGTATTCAAATACGTAACTCAATTCTGTGTTCTGAACTGGTTGCTAGTAAACGGTAATAAATTAACCACCTTTCACCTCACAGAAAGTCAATCTGAAAATATCTTTTATAACAAAAAGGAACAGAACCAAGCACTACTTGCTTTTCCTCATCTTGGTGTATTCTTGCTCTGCCTGCGACGCAAACATAGCCGAGAGCACGGACAAGATGGAGGCCAGCAGAGTCTTCTGCTCCTGCACCATGAGCGGCGGATCGTCCGGCTGGCAAAGCTCATGGCAAACGAGGTCATAAAGCAAACCCCAAGTCTCTTTTCCTCCATCAGGAGCCTGCACTTGAGAAAGAAACAGAGCCCACCAACCCAACAAAATTTAATCTAGGTATGTGAACAATTTCTCATCCCATCTGATGATCTAGAAGTTGCTGCCACTCTCAGTGTCACTACATGCAGCAATTCAAGTGTCTTACCAATAGCCTGAATGCCCTCATCCACCGTGGTCAGGAGCTGCAAGATATGCATATAGACATCAAGTCCTTCTGGATTATCTGATCTACACAGAACAAAAAACAAAGACAAATTAAAGATCTGATTATTGACTTTATATTCTCTGTGTTTTGGACACACAGAAGACTATCAGCAATCACTGCCACTCTCTTGGCTAACAAACTAGTTGACACATTTCAAATCCCAAGTGCAGGGAAATGTATTCCAGTCATCT